ATAAAAACGATATTCTAATTAATTTCGCGCTTCAAATTTGTGACATTGTTGGTTGCCATCTTGACAACGGCCACGTAGCATGAACACTCGTATAATTTCAAATATTTTGTTTACTAATTTCAATGAACCTTTGCGTTTTTATTTCGTTACTTTTATTTTATTTTAATATATTAAAAAATACAACTAATTAACTATTAATAGAATTTACTTAAAATATATTGCACTGATGATGACTTTACGTCGAAATAGATCTATATGCATAATTTTAATAATAATATAAAAAATAAACGATTATAAAAATGGGATCTTGCTTGATTAATTTTAACAATTAAAATCATAAACGATTATAAAATGGATTTCAACATTTTGAATAGACTTAATTGTAAAGAACTAGTTCAAAATATTAGAAAATCAACCATAAAACTTGTTAATGCTGAATCGTCGGTGGATTTTTTGAACAACTGTATAGAACTTGGTCTTCTTCCTAATATATATATATATATATATATATATATATATATATATATATATATATATATATATATATATATATACATACATATGTTGTATATATATGAAATGAAATGATTTTTTATTTAACAACAATTCCAAACAAATGGAAAAAATTTGTCAGGATGATTGAGGTAAAACGCAAAGTTTATCGAGCCCGACCACTTTTCAAAAGTGTTAATTTAAGTAATTTTAAACAGAAAGAGTACAGTGGAACTGTAAAAACAAAATTCTAATAATTCAGCATTTTAATATTTAAATAAAGTGTTAATGATAATTTGAAAAAGTATTAGAACACATTAGATTCTTTTATGAATGATTTCAAGATCTTTTTAAAATTTTACAAAGATATAACATTGCAGATTAAGTTGTTTTTTAAATTTATTCCAAAGTCCCGAGCAACTAATATGGAAAAATAAAATGTTCTTTTTTGCCGTTTTTTAAAACAAGACAGTTTTGTTGTCGTTTTCTTTGGCGTTTTTGTATTTGAAGTAATCAACGAATCCTAGGAATTTGCAAATTTTAGTTTCACTTGTACTAACGTTGTCAATTGTAATTTTGTACGGTTCCTTATAGTTTAGGTGTTGGGACCGAATACCATCAACTAAGTTTTAATTTTGTTTATTGTTAGTTTATTGGCTATGAACCAATTTAAAACATTTTTATGTTCGTTACTAGGGATGCACCGAAGTTCGGCCCCGGCCCCGGCTCCGCCCAAAATCCGGCGTTTTTATCTAATCCGGCCCCGACCGGATTTGATGGCCGGATTTATGGCCGGATTTAAGCGTCTATCGACATTTAAAAATGTTATAAATAGAAAAAAAAATTTCATTGAGTTCAATTAATTTTATGTCAATAAGTTAAAAGCTAAGCATACATGACACATAATAACAACATCACTAATTGTGAAATGAGCTGGACAATTTTCTTAGTGCTATAACATGGGTTATGCATAAATTATGGGCTGATCTTTGTGTAAAAGAACTTGTGCACGTGTTTATACTATATAATTGTATATGACGGATCATATAGCTACATTATATATATATACATAGAGATACATAAGCGCATAATTTAAGAACATGGTATGTTAAAGGTTAGGCTAGGCATACATGACACATAATAACAACATCACTAATTGTGAGGTGAGCTGGACAATTTTCTTTGAGCTATAACATGGGTTATGCATAAATTATAAGCTGATCTTTGTGTAAAAGAATTTGTGCACGTGCATACATGACACATAATAACAACATCACTAATTATGAGATGAGCTGGACAATTTTCTTTATGCTATAACATGGGTTATGCATAAATTATAAGCTGATCTTTGTGTACAGAATTTGGCGTATCACACAGCTTATTCATATATTTGAATTAATTAACTATTTGCTTGGTGTTATTTTTTGGTGTTCAACATGTAGATAACCGTAAATGTGAGTATTTTTTCTAACGTATGTAAAATGGTAACTAAAATCCGGCCCCGGCTCCGGCCCCGGCCCCGGCCGGTTTTTGAATTTTAAATCCGGCCAAGTCCGGCCCCGGCCGGATTTGAAAAACCTGAATCCGGTGCATCCCTATTCGTTACCGACATCTTCGATAAGAGACTTAATTTTGTGTCCGCTCCTGAAAATATTTGAGTCGTCTGCGTACATTACGAAGTCAAAAAACTGACGAGTTACTGAGGTCTTTCATTTATAAAAGAAAAAATAAAGGGCCTAGATTACAACCTTGCGGGACATCTCCAGTCACTGGACGGCAAAAAGAGGCGGTTCCATGGATCTCAACGTATTGATGGCGATTTAATTGGTAGCTTTTGAACCACTTAAGTATTGTGCCACGAAACCCGTGTATACACATAATTTTTGAAAAATGCTGTGATCAATAATATCATAAGCTTTGGATAAATCTAGAAAAACTCCAAAACTCTCACAGTGTAAGTATCTTTTTTTGCTGCTTCACTCTTTCTCTCTGTCTCTCTCTCTCTCTTTCTCTCTCTCTCTCAAGATATATATATATATATATATAGCTGCCACAATACGCGTGTGTGTATGCGTGTTTATTTGCGTTTGACATGCGTACAATTAAGCGCTTATATGTTGCATTTCTTTGGGTCGTGTCATACATGTTTCCATTTTCGCATGTTCGTGAATGCAAATGTATCCAGATAAAAAAAAAAGTACTGAATGATATGTCGAGGTTCAGTTACGTTCACAACATGCTATTGTTAATATTTTATTTAAAAGCTTAATCTTTTGTCACCAAAACTTTGGTCAACTTTTGGCTTAAACTGAGACTGTGGCAAACTTTTGATTGTTTGGTTCTAAAATAACCAAACCGTGCCCGAAGCCAAAAATTTGTTATCTTTATACATATATTCAAAGAAGCATTGTTGGAAATCGGCTACCACTACTAATTTTTTTTATATAAGTGAAATAAACTTTTTGAGCCAACCGAAACTTGTCGTCAGAAACTGATAATGAAAAGGTCTGCCCCAAGTTTTGTCCACGAAGTATGCTGTGATGCTGACGTTGTACGTTATTTTCGGAATCAACCCTTCCATCTGATATCTGAATAACACGTGATTATAACGTATTAAAAAGCAAGGATTGTTGTTTAATTTTATAATTTTATCCATTACAAATTTTTCTGAACCGCATCAATTCATGCATTTAGAAAGTAAAAAATACTGATCAGAAAATAAAGAAAATTAATCGAAGTGATATTCTTCAAAACTGTTAACCTCTGTTCATGTTTTTCAACAAGGATCTGCTGCAACGGATCGACAACAGTGTCGTGTCGGATGCCCACGTAGTCAATCTGGAGGTTGGTACGAGCAGGAATGGTAATAACGTTCATCCATCTATCCATCTATCCATCCACCTGTTTATCATCCGCTCATCCATCCATTTAACAACCACAATGAAATCATGTTAACATACTCATAACAACAAACCAGCTGAATGAATAAGAATTTAACTGAATGATGTTTACAATGACATTGCGATGTTGGGGAAAGTCAACATTTCGATGATGTTGAGAGACAAAAATGCAATGGTGTTGAGAGGCAACATTGCGATGATGTTGAGAGACAACATTGCGATGATGTTGAGAGACAACATTGCGATGATGTTGAGAGACAACATTGCAATTATGTTGAGAGACAACATTCAGAGGCGTAGGGACCAGAGGTTCAGCAGTTACGCTGAGGCCCTCGAAGAATAAAAAAAAAGTTAAGCGAAATTCTGTATAAATTATGATTGTATTCAATATTTTTAATTAATTTAATATCTCTGATAAAACTTTATACAATTTTTGTTTTGTTATATGTATAACTGTTCAAAATTATGTTCCCTTTTATGGTTCATAATTTTATAGTTTTTGGCTCTTATCGTTAGATACATTTTTCATCGTCAATTATTTTTTCCCCTTTTCGCAATCGTTTTACTTCAAAGTTGATAAGTTATTTCAAAAAATTCAATTGTTTTTCAATAGAATTTTAGATCTTATTTTGCAAGAATTATGATTAAATTTTTCATTTGAGGACACGAGATCTCGGACAAATATTTTTTGATGAAATATCGAATGACAACATTGCGACGATGTTGAGAGACGTCGACCCACCTTGTATCTGAGCACTCCAGGGCGCGCAGGGGGCTTCCAAATCAATACGACCGTTCGCTCGTTCTGTATGTCGACTTTGATGTCTTGGATTGAAGATGGGTGGACTGTGCGATGGAAATGTATGCAAGATAAATAAAAGAGCGATAATATAACAATCCTATGAATGAAAGGATAACATTTTAGGGAATAAATAAAATACGTGAACAAATTATTTACGAACTGCGCAAATAAACATATGAATCCGATATCTAAATTAATTGCGCACAACAAATCCTGATCAATTCAAAAAACGTTTTTATTTAGTGAAACATTCCACCGAAACCAAACAAAATGAATGAACAAATGAAAGACAGCAACACGTCAGAAACATCTAGAAGAATGAATGACTTAAATGAAATATATCGACAAAAAACACATCTACAAATATGCATGGACTTGCTGTGTGGTGTAGAAGACTCAACAATTTACATCAACTTACAATTTTATAGTTAAAAATTGTTGGAAAATAATCTAAAATCTAATTGATAAATGATAGACTAATGTTTTTGCTCTATTAAAAGCAGGTGAAATAGGCTTTCCAATTGAATTATTCAAAACTTAAAATTATTTTCTTGCCATCAGCCAATTTAGTTTTTCATAAAATCCGGCCGGAGTGCCGCCGCATCTGCATCGTTGTAACTTTGCGCTGATCTAATTTAGTCTCGTTCAAACCAGAAATTAAAATATTTTTGTACGCTTCTTGTTTATGATGTGGTGTACGTGCGTTCATACAAATATGCATACACAAGTGTTTCCTTACATCCAACATCAAAGTAAAGAAAAATAAAAGCAGCTATGTGTTTGTCAGAGCGAAAAGATTTTATATAATGGGAAGGAAGAGAATGGAGAATCAAAAGGAGATTTGAAAAAATTTAAAAAGTGAAGAATTAAGGAAAAGGAAAAACAAACCAAACATTTACCAGTCATGCACTCTATTCCATCATAAGTCACGAAAGGCAAGGCACAAACACTCACGCGTCCGTGCTGCGCTGCGGTACTATTAAAGTCGCTATATAAATCTTTTCATTATATATATGTATATATATACACATACATATATATTATATATGGACTTGCTTGGACTGGACATGCGTATAGTTGCACTGATATCACAAAAGCATGACAATGTAAATATAAGCAAATTGATATTGATTTTGAATAAATTTTTTGACCATAACTTTCCTGTCCATATTTTCTATATTATCAATTATTATGTCTTGTTAATGGGCACACTTAATAATTCTTCGTATTTAATCGGTACGAAACGAGTTTGTTTAGTTTTTATTAGAGTAAATTTTTTTTAAATTTATTAACAAAGGTTTAAAAATAAATGCAAACTTTTCTGACATTTTCAAAATGTTGAAGATAGTATGTTGGCATTTGCTCAAATGTTTTTTGACCATGATATTTTGTATCGCTATGGCAGTTACGTTCGATGAGCTGCTGTGTTAGTGCGATTGCAGTGGACTGATATTTGTTATATTGATAGTTTTTTATCGACAAAAATTTTGTTGGCGTTATAATAGATTGTGCTAGAAGATGGAGGTTAATATTTTATATGCTGAAAATGCCTAATACAAAATATTTATTTTCAGATATTTCTAACAAGAGTCTTATGTTTATTTTCTAATTTATTAAAACTAATAAGATAGTTACGGTACAAAATAATTAATTAAAAAAATGCTGATAAGTGTTTTATTTCGATGTAACTCAGCTTCAACATAAAGGAAATTCGACCGAGTTATTATTGAAAATCTTCGAGAAGTTAACAAGGTTCTATGTGAACCGGAGTTGTTCCTGTCTTTTAATGTTATCATTTTTGTTGGCGTTATTAATGTTTTCTTTCAACATCACTCGTCGATGTAGTTACTTTCTGCTGCATAATGATTGGTGGTTGCATGATATCAATAAGAGCAGCTTCAGCAAGTTTCAGACGGATGTGAATTCTGTTGCAATTAACTGTCGTAGTGCTATTGTCGAGTACTTTGCGTGTTGTGGTGATGTGTGTCATTTCAAGTGTGGTTTTATGCCTCCCTCTCTTTTTTGCATGGTAAGACGACGTGATAGCGATGTGGAAGTCACACCAATATACGAATTTTGTTAACGAGTACAATTGTCAAAGAGACATTTAAATTCATATAGTGATCATCAAGTGGCTACGTGTTAACGCACAGTAGTTTTCCACAATTTGACGCTTTGATACTCTTAGTTTTATTTATTGCTTGGTTTTGTTAGAGTTACATTTCCATGAATTAATTTTCTTTTAAAATTGTTCAACGGTACATATACATATTAAAAAAACTTCATCATTACTGAGCTAGTTTTTACTTATTGATCACCACACTTTTATCGATCACCTCACTAAGTCATCATTTAGTCTATTAATAAGTCATCAAATATATTAATACTCATTAAAACTTTTTAAAAACTTTTTAGCCTTTATTTATCAATCACCTCTCTAAGTCATCATCTAGTCTCTCAATTTGCCGTTACTTCATTTTATATTTCATCGTAAATTACTTTTCTTTTATTTGTGTTATTATTATTTATTTTATTCTAACATATTTTATTTTTCATGTTTTATCATTTCTCTTCCTCACTTTTTGTATTTATTTTCTCACTTATTTGTTTAATTTTGTTTTACTGCCTTGCATGTTGTTACAGTTTCTGCGTCTGTCAGATCCTGATTTTTAAAGAATAAAAAAAAATGTCATATACATAGAAATGTACATGACATTTGGTATCTATAGTGAAAAATTATATCTTCACAGTTGTTGGTGTTTTGGGAGTTGTTGATGTGCTGATATTTTGTTGATACCGTCTTTTTTCCAACAGCGTGTTCAACAGTCAGTGTACGTAAATATGTGCGATAGAAAAGTTTCATTAGCAAAATGTTCTCATTAGCAAAGTTATTCAACATCACCGAATTATCTGAAGAGTTTCAGTGACTTGCCTCAGATTCCAATGAACTTACATGCATTGCAGTGGCATATTTAGGTAGGACATTTAAAGAACAAGAAATAAACTGGCTAATAGGCAACGCATTGTGTGAGTGACGTTGTAACGGTTCGTAACAAAAAACACCATATCGTTAAATTTAAATGTTTAGTTTCCGCACTTGAATTGAAGTGTGTGGTTGTCATAGGAGTGGCACTCTGCTATCTGGTGGGATGTATTTAATTGAAGTGCTCACTGAAGTTGAGTGTAGTGGTTTGCTTCAACTTGGTCAAATGTGGAAATAAGTTTTAAACTTTTATAATTTCCAATATTTAATTAAATAAAAATATTGTAAACATTGGCTCCTTACAATTTTGCTAACAAATTTTTGACAATGATCGTGTTCTGTCTAATGAAAACCATTATTCTAATTTAAAAATTTTTATAATGCAGCCACAACTTCGATAGAAAACCATTGAACCAGATATATAAGGGATGCTGTCAGACAAACTTTTTTAAAAAGCACAAAAAATTAAATTGAAAAAACGCCTTCTCATTTAAATATACATGTATCTATTTTTTTTAATTGTTCTCTTTGGGTTACTTCTCGAGGGAATCATCAACAACAGATACACAGCGCTTGTGAGTACGCATGAACCAACGCATTACATACACTTCATGTGACAGGCAGGGATCTGCTGGCATTCAATTCAAACCCTGTCCCTGCAACAGCAGTACTAAGCGCCTTCACCATCACACCATCTTGCTGTCTATGTTATGCATATATTAACATATATTTATGCCTATATCATGTTTCAAAAAAGATGTTTACTTTGTTTACTTGCGTTAATTTTTGAAAATGATTGATTAGCGATTAAATGAGTTAAATGAGTTGAAGTGCTATCATTAATGCTTACTTTCTATTTGAAAACAGAAAAAATCAAAAAGCTAACCATTTTCAAACTTCATGGTGTTAATGACTTCCGAATAATTTCCTTTCTTGTTCTCCCTGTCGATGGCTCTCATCCGGATGGAGTAAGGCACGTTTTTGGTCAGTCCAGGCAGCTGAGCGCTCATGTAAGGCCCTACCGCTATGGTCACCCTCGAGTCTTGTGAGCCTCGATTCAACATGTCCCGTGGATAGTATTCGATCTGTTGGTTGGTTGGTTGGTTGGATGGTTGGTTGAATGGTTGGTTGGCTGGTTTGTTGGTTGGTTGGATGGATGGTTGGTTGGTTGGTTGGCTGGCTGGTGTTGGTTGGTTGGTTCATTTGTTTATTGGATGTGTAGGTTGATGTAAAATTGATCACATGGCTTGTAGGTTGGTTAAATGTGTAACACGCTAATTTCAATGAGCTTAAAGTCAGTGAATGCACGCTTAATGGGGGTATCAATTAAACTTTTAAAAAATTGTTTAGACAAATGCCAAAAATTGAACCTCGTAATGTGTGATGAAATTGGGTGAAGGAGTGGATGGTGTGTCCCAGAACAACCTGATGTTCGATTCCGACACGTCAAGTCGTAAGTTCCTCGGAGCTTCCAAGACAACTAAAAACACGTTTAATTTTATTTACAATTATTTCTAATTTTTACTTTTAGAATTGTTTCAAAAAATCAGTTCACTGTTTTTGAATTAATTTCAAATGCGGCTTTTTGATAATATTCGATGCAAATTATAACATGTTCATAAAATGAAAAAATATTTTATGGTTAAAAGAAGTTCAGCACTGAGCGAACATTGTCCAAAAGTCCTAAAGGGCAACTTGTTGCTCCAGGGTCCGTAACCTTTCTTCGTGTAGGCCCTCGATTGGAAGATGTAGTCTGTGTTCATGGCCAGATTATCCACTGTTTTCGAGCGGTCAGTCGTGTTCATGTGCGTTGGGTTATACTGATCGTTACGATCGTAGTACATCACCTTGAAATAATAATGAAGATGACGACGATGATGGTGGGGATGTGTTTGTTTCTTTTCTAAGTAACGTTTTTATTTTTTTAACTAGCGCTGTATAAATATTTGAATACGATAATGCTAACGGTGATGATAATAACACAATAAAAAAGGATATAATAATTATCATGATAATTCAATTATGATTAGAATAAATCTTGATAATGCTTAACATGTCCATGTGTTTGACTTAAAAAATTGAACGCTTAAAAAAGTTTCAACGGCAAATGGCAAGAGCATTTCAGCGAACATGTTGTCTCCATCATCTCTCTATAATGTCAATTTGTAATTCGTTTCAGATACTTCCTTCCACAAAGCATATACACATCGACAACTACCGAGTGTTTGGCGTTCCACTTGAGGTTTTTATATTCGTTGAAGGAGGCGCGCAAGAAAGGAAGGACAATGGAACCAATGGGACAAGTTTAGTGAGTGCTAGCCCAAATATCAGCCTCTGCCAAAACGCTTTCAAAGGTATCACAATGTAAAAATAATAATGGTGGCATAATAATGGTGGCACTTTTTAAATAATTTCATAAAAGTGCTGCAAAATTTTACGTGTAAATGTCAACCTCCTTATCATTAGTAATAAAATATGGACGGTGAAAACATAAAAGTAGTACTGAAGTGCACTCAACTAATAATTCTTCCATTAACATGAACGTGGCAACTCCATCACAAACATCATACGTAGCTCTGTTAGACTCTCAAAGTCACCGACAACGATGAAAGTCTCAACAACAACACAAACCACAACATCATTATTTATCATCAACAAAATCAAAACAACGAAAACAACATCAACAAAATCAACAAAAACAACAACATAAACAACAACAACAAAAACCACACATATAACATGGAACATCAACAACATCATCAACAAAAACACCAATATAAACATCAACAACAAAATCAACAACATTTAAAACATCAACGACGTTAAAACACCACCACCAACAATCAAAACATTAACAACAATAACATTAAAACACCAACATCATCATCAACAACAACAACTTAAACAACATTAACGGGTACACTGAATGTAAAACATGACGAGATGGAGGGACCACTGAAAGCAATGTTATGAGCGATTTTTGCATGAAAAAAGTTTCATTAACTTTAAGAGGTCATAAATATTATTGCGCCGAACATTCGATAGGGTCGTGTGGCCAAAATAATAAAATACAAACTGTAGTTGCTTCAAAAAATTTTCTAACAAGGCTGACAGCTCTTTAAGTTTATGAATGTTTACACTGGATGATGGTGACCGTAATGTAGCAACATTATTGTCATCATCGTCAACAACAACAACGACAACAACATCGACAACAACAACGACAGCAGCAACAACAACCAAAAAATAGCAGCAGCTGAAGCAACATCATTATTCTAGCCATCACATTATCATCATATTTGTATTATTATTAGTATTGTTATTAATATAAACAACATTATTATCATCAACAACAACACAATCACCATCATCATCAACAACAACATAATCCCCATCAACAACAACAACATCAATACAGAAACTGAACCAAACATTCATCGGAGGGAAACGGTATGTATGGATTGTGTTGATACTCCAACAGACCAATTGAACAGACGTCTTACAAATTATGGACGAATGCATGCAGGCGATACAACCAGTCACACATACAACTAACCACACACACAACCAGCCACACATACAACTAGCCACACATACAACCAACCATACATACAGCTTCAGGACAGCAGCAAAACGTTCAGTTGTTTAAATTTTAATGCACGCAAGACAATTGTAGTTATTATATTTTTAGATTTCAACGTTTTCAACTCGGGGTTATGATTGTGTGTTTGAATGGTAATATATTTCTAAAACATTTCTAACTTTCTACATACAATTGGGCGGCGCTATGATGCATCGGTGCCAGCGTGACCGAATCCATCGCTACAAAAAACCCGCCTACCACGTGCAATGTGTGTGATGCGTTATTTCACGTGCTGTTACATGCCTGTGCGCTTGTTGTTGATTCATCTGAAAAATAATAAAAAAAGAATTGCGAAAAAAAAATAAACAAACAAATAAATAAATAATGTTAATAAGCCATGTGCACAACATTTTATGAAAACATGAACACGTTTGCATAATTGTTTCAACAATTAACGAAGAAGTAAGAGAGCAAGAAATAAAAAAGAGCTAGAAAGATAGGAAGAAGGAAAACGAAGAAAAAAAAGGAAGAAAAAGAAGAAAAAAAGCAAAAAAGAAAAAAAAGGACGAAAAAGGACAAACAAGAAAAAAAAAGAAAAAAAAGCAAGGAAACAGGAAAAAGGTGAGAAAAAAGGGCCAGAAAGAAGGAGAGAAATGGAAAGAAAAAAAGCGAAATAAAGGAATTAAAAAGAAACAAGGAAAAAATACAAAAAAGAAAAAAAGATGAGAAAAAAGGAAAAAAGGCAAGAAAGAAAAAAATGGTATGAAAGAAAAAACAAATGAAACACGGGAAGAAAGAAAGAAAAAAGGTGAAAAAGAAGGGTAGAAGGCAGTGAAGCAAGAATATGGGAAAGCGGGGGAAAAAGAGGGTAGAGGACAATGATGAAAAAACATAGAAGAAAAGGTGAAAAAGAAGGAAAAATAGCAAAAAAAAGAAAATAAGCAAAGAAATCAGAAAAAAAGAAAAAAAGGGATAGAAAAAATAACGTAAAATTATTGTTAATATTTACGCCCGCAGTTAACTGTCAACTGTGATTATAATTATTTTTTAAGCAGTTGTCTCCATTTTAATTTTCAAAATGTCAGTTGTGCAAGAATAAAACTCCACTGACGCTTGAAATTATTTTGTCAAATTATCAAGTAAGAAATGAAATGCAGTATTTGAGTGGAAAACAGTACAGCACATAACACAACACGTAACATAACACAAAACATAACACAACATATAACATAACACATCACATTGCATGACACGTCATACATGTTGTAGTTTAAAAAGATTCCCCCTTTTTACGACCCCTTACCAAATCCTTTATTATCTTCATCCACCAAACTGTTAAGTCTACCAACAATTCTTAAACCACTTGAACCAAATGAAATTGAATTAACTTCAATAAAGGCTGACCAACAAATAATAATTTCTGTGGCATTTTAAAATCAAACCAACATTTAAAATGCTGGTTCTTCAGAACTGAATTCTATACAAATTTAAACTGTGGTAAATAAATAACTAGAATTCAATAACTTTGTCGAAGTTGAATTGTCAGGCATGCCTATCAAAATAATTTAATGGCCATTGAACACAATCGTTGAACGATCTGCTTACACTGCGAAATTGCAATAGAAAACGTGGGAACAAGTTCACATAGCAGCTGTCTTTTACAGAAACTTTAATTCATCCGTTGCAAACGAATCTCTTAGTCAATCGAAACAAAATTTTCAGGCAAATATGTTGAGACGA